CAAAGCCGTGCTAATCGTTCTATTTGGGGAAGTGGAGGATTCCAGTTGCAGGAAAACAGAGACTGGGATTACATGACGAGATTGATAGAGATCTGAAATCATAGACCCCTGCTGATGCAGGGGAGCTCTGTAGAAGTAATCAACTTTTTACGGCTCATTTACTTGGAGGTGACAAATTCCCATATCAACGGAATTCCTGTACGTCAACAAGATTTCGGTTCAACAAAAAAACTCAACTACAAATTAGCCGCATTGGAAGTCTTTCTACCGAACAGGAATGCATTTGCCTCTGTAGTGGCTTCTCTTAAAATTTATTGCACTTCGAGAAGAGTGATTTGACGCACTTCTTACTGGGGAATTTTCCATTGTACATTTTGTTTACTGGTATTAATTAAACACTAAGCGCCAGTTATTTAACTGGTATATTACAAAATCGGGTCATAATTAAGCCCTTTTCTGTTTAACCAACGCTTTTATCAAACCCCATTTATCGTGAATAATTTCAATACAGCATATAAGGCAGACTGGAAAACTAAAGCACTTATTTTCTTAAACTAACCCACCAAGAAAGAGGCCTGGAGGTTCAATGATTTCTGAAACCGCGGCCTAAGGTAACCCGTAATGGTTTGAAAGTAATGTCAGTCTATTTTCTTTTTGCCTCTCTCGCAAGTGAAAGTGAGAGTTCACAGAGACTGTGCGGTTTTCTCGAGTGCGTTTTAGAAGCTGCCTTAACGGAAAGGTTACTACACTACCGGAATTAAAACATCGAGGAAATTATTAATTTAAAGCCGCGGAGTATTTTCCCCAACAATGAATAATATTACCTCTAACTTTTTGCGATAACACTGCAAAATATTTCTGATTATTTTTCAACTGAATAGGCTGCGAATTTAATGCGATGATCATGTTCACTTTCATACCTTCATCCGCATTTCATATATTTCAATTCATGCTTACAAGATCTCCCTAATTTTATGTCTGAACGCAAGGCTTTTTTAATGGAAACTTTATTCAAGGGCAGAACTAACACTAAGCGCTAAGCGGAAACTGCCTTATGAAAAAACTTTTAAAGTTGACGCGCTGTTTTAAAGGCCTCACTGGATCTGGATGGGGTTAAATACAAACGTAAGCGAAACACTAATTTTGCAATATTTAAATAATGTCTATAAAATAAAGCTTCCCTCTGAGATACCTGGCGAATAAAATTCTCACAGATCCACAGCCTAAAAAGGCTAAGCTGCTCTGTTGAATCAGGAAGGCCAAACTTTTTGTCTTAATGCTGGTCAGAGATTCAAACAATATCTAAAAGCGCGTTTTTAGTTCCCTCTGAGACACCCGGAGAATAAAATTTTCACAGAGCCACAGCCTAAAAAGGCTAAGCTGCTCTGTTGAATCAGGAAGGCCAAACCGTTTTACTTAATGCTAGACGGAGATTCAGACAATGTCTGAGAAGCGAGTTTTTAGTTCCCTCTGAGACACCCGGAGAATAAAATTCTCACAGAGCCACAGCCTAAAAAGGCTAAGCTGCTCTGTTGCATCAGGAAGGCCAAACTTTTTTCTTAATGCTGGACAGAGATTCAAACAATATCTAAAAGCGCGTTTTTAGTTCCCTCTGAGACACCCGGAGAGTAAAATTCTCACAGAGCCATAGCCTAAAAAGGCTAAGCTGCTCTGTTGCATCAGGAAGGCCAAACTTTTTTTGTTAATGCTGGACAGAGTTTCAAACAATATCTAAAAGCGAGTTTTTAGTTCCCTCTGAGACACCCGGAGAATAAAATTCTCACAGAGCCACAGCCTAAAAAGGCTAAGCTGCTCTGTTGCATCAGGAAGGCCAAACTTTTTTTGTTAATGCTGGACAGAGTTTCAAACAATATCTAAAAGCGAGTTTTTAGTTCCCTCTGAGACACCCGGAGAATAAAATTCTCACAGAGCCACAGCCTAAAAAGGCTAAGCTGCTCTGTTGCATCAGGAAGGTCAAACTGTTTTACTTAATGTGGGGCATGCACTATCATCTTCACAGATCTAATCAGTGTAATGTACGACCAAACCACACCATGTTGAGTGTAACAACTGATTTAATTAGTTACCCGTCATGCCTAGTACAGGCATGGCATTAACATACATCACATCTCTCTTTCTCCAACAAAGACCGAACTAATAATAAACAATGGAAAATAACACAAAAAAAATAAAAAATAAAAAATAAATAACAAAATCAGTTCGAAATCAGTTCAAAAACTCGTAAGTTCAAATTCACAAGTTCGCATTCAGCATTCAACGTTCCATTCAATTGCTCCATTCCCTTCAAGTGTAACAGTCCTTTAGGTATGATGGGGTCTTAACCAAACGTCCCGACCTGGTCACTGTAACAGGTTCTTCTGCAGCCGCTACTGGCTTAGCGGCTTGGCTTGGCTTAGCTACTGGCTTAGCGGTTTCCCTCTGCACGTTAGTTGGAGGTAAGGTTATCTCAGTCTGCTCTGGTCTGGCCTCAAATTTCTGTTCTCCTGGTGCCCTGTTGCGATTGAGGTGTCGTCTGTTTCTGCGATATTTCCTTCCACTTGCTGTCTCAACTACGTAAGATCTAGGAGTGTGATGTTTGTATGACACTACAGCCGGTACCCACTCGTCTCTGTGTTTCATCGTGACAGTATCTCCAGTTTGAAGTGATTCCAACTCCCGTCCACAGTGTCGATCAAAATAATGTTTTTGCGTTTCTTTCACTTTTTTGAGCTTCCCGACTACTTCTTCCTGTCCTTGCGGTCTCAACAATTCTGCAGTGGTAGGTAATGTTGTTTTCAGACGTCGACCCATCATCAGTTGACCTGGGGACTTGTTAATTGCGTCAAGTGGCGTGGTTCGATAGCTAAGCAGGGCTTTATTTATGTCGACGGACTTTGACATCAAGTTTTTGGTTGTTTGAACTGCTCTTTCAATTTGTCCATTTGATTGCGGGTAGTGAGGGCTGGTTGTTGTGTGCGTGAACTCATAGTCCTTTGCAAACTCCGCAAACTCGGCTGCTCCGAACTGAGGCCCATTGTCGCTTACGACTTCATCGGGTATACCATATCTTGAGAAGTGCTTCTTCAGTGCATTAACTGTCGCCTTACTGCTTTGGTTTTCGAGTTGGTCTACTTCCATCCACTTAGAATAATAGTCAACAGTACACAAGTAGTGATGACTGTTCATTTCAAACAAATCTGTGCCTATTTTTGCCCATGGCCTGTTTGGGGAATCATGTGGTATCATTGGTTCTTTGGCTTGCTGTCTCTGGTGCTGACTGCATGTATAGCACTTGGCTACTTTGTCTTCAATTTGCGTTGACATCCCTGGCCAGAACAGCACATCTCTCGCTCGCTGTTTGCACCTGACAACCCCAAAGTGCCCCTCGTGTATTTTGTCTAACATTTCTGACTGCAGGGTGTGAGGCACTATCACTTTCGGCCCTTTAAACAGCAGTGCATCAATGACTGAAATTTCGTCTTTGTACGCCCAGTACTGTCGGAGGTCTGGGGACAGCTTTGCTTTGCTATCTGGCCATCCCTCTAGTACTGTGTCAGTTAGGGACTGCAATACTGGGTCTGCTGCTGTAGCTTGTTGAAGCTCTAGATACTTTTCCTGTGAGATGGGAAGATAAGCTGTGAGACACACGTCACTGACTTCTAAGTCCTCCACGAGCGTTTCTTTGGTTTCTGGCAAGTAATGGCGACTAAGGGTATCTGCTAGTTGCATTTCATTCCCAGGCTTGTATGTAACCTTGAGGTCATACCTTTGTAGGCTCATCATCATCTTCTGCAAACGCGGAGGTGCCTGATGAAGATTCTGTGCTAAGATCCTCTCGAGCGGTTTATGGTCAGACTCCACGTGCACTGTTCGTCCATAAACGTACTGATGAAACTTCTGGCAGGCGTAAACTATTGCAAGTAACTCCTTCTCAATCTGTGCAAACTTCTGCTGCGCAACAGTCAAGGCTCTAGAAGCATATGCAATCGGCTTGTTCTCTTGTAGCAATACTGCACCAAGTCCGTTAGCACTAGCGTCAACGTTGAGGGTGACAGGCTTGTTTGGGTTGTAGTAGCCCAGTACCGGAGATTTGGTTACCATCTGCTTGAGTGTTTGAAAACTTTGTTGCTATTCTTTGTTCCAACGCCAGACTACTCCTTTCTCCAATAGTCGTCTGAGAGGTGCACTTTCAGCAGCTAGATTAGGCAGAAATTTTCCAAGGTATTGGATAAAACCTAGGAATGTTCTGAGTTCTTTAACATTCTGTGGTGGTTGCATCTTCGACTGCTCTGACCTTCTCTGGGTCCGGTTTCAAACCCTCACTGGTCAGGAGATGTCCTACATAGGGGACATGGTCTTTCCTCACTTGGCATTTCTTGCTATTTAACTTGAGACCAACCTCTCTCGCTCTGTTTAGGACTTGTCTCAACCTTGCATCGCGCTGGTCAGTACTGCTGCCCCAGATCAGTATGTCATCCACAATTGCTCCTGCAATGGGCTCTGCTCCAGGTATGCCCTCCAACATCTCGGTCATGTATCTCTGGAACACCTCAGGGGCCGATTTGATTCCGAAAGGGAGCCTTTTAAATCGATACCTCCCGAAGGGGGTGTTGAACGTGCACAACTTCGAGCTTTCCTCGTCTAATTCTATTTGCCAGAATCCTGATGTTGCATCCAACACAGAGAATACTTTGGCATCTGGCATGTCTGCAACTATCTCTTCAATCGTCTTCATAGGGAAGTGTTCTCGTTTAACAGCTAGGATTAAATCTCTAGGATCTAAACAGATGCGAATCTTATTCGGCTTGACCACAGTAACCATACTGCTAACCCATGCTGTTGGTTCGATTTGCCTCTCTATCACTCCTGCTTTCACCATTCTTTCAAGCTCATCTTTGATTCTGCCCTTCAGTGCAACCGGTACCTTTCTTGGTGGATGTACCACTGGGATGACTGTTGGGTCAATTCTGATGGTATGTTTACCTGGTAAACATCCAAGC